AAATAGCAACAAAATGAACAGAAGTACTTAAACCTATGTGTATGGCAATACATAACACCTCGCACCAGATAAATGGCAAGTTAACATGCCGCGCGAATCTTGGAGGTAGCAATATTCCAAAAACTTCTGAAACACCAATACTACTAGACTTACAGAAGACTCCAGCTCAGTATTCAGTAAAGCAACCAACATCATACGTCCCTATTTATTAGTTCACTATTCTCATGTCTGGATTAATTAATTGGTTCCTCATTAGTTTTGTGTCCTACTTCAGTGAACTTTAAACTTAAGATTCCCTGCATGTATCTCAGCCCTCTGTTTCCGAACATCTAAAATATGTTGCACACATGGGCAAGGATTTTCTACCAATAATCCAATAACTTCAGCAACAAGAGTAATACTTTACAACCAGGATAAGAAAACTCACAGAGTAGAAGTTAACTCAGAATGCCTAGAAGAAATTGGAAAAATATAGCAGAACCTGAACCAAAGTTTTCAGAGTGCAACTTAGGTATTAAAGGAATGGGAAAAAAGTTTATAGAACAATTGAATTGCTATGCTCAATAATCAGAGAGATAAAGAGCCAAGAAATATACGGGTTGAGAAAATATATAACAAATCAAGTATAGTTCAGTGACAAATATGTTTATTGCAGTTTCTACGAGCATACCTGAAGCTCAGCTAACTTTTCGCGAACCTGCATATAGCCTAAGTGGAGCTTCCCCCCAAAATGATCTGCTAATCGGCGGTCACTAAGCACATACAAAACATTTACTTGTCATAACAACCCTAAGGACTTAAAGCAAAAATAAATCATGAAAGAAGAGCCTAGCGCGTTCTCTGGCTACATAAACAATTATAAAATAGAAAATAACGCACATTCTTTAGCTGCAAAAGTTATCCACGTAAAACTGGGCCCAAAAGCCTGCTGGTGACAAGGAGGTGTAATCACCGAGTCAAACAATGAAATACCCACTTTTCTCATAACTAATTTTTTATCCTATAAGTAGGAAGTGGGTTGTTTTAACCAGAGGTATATCATAAATTTACCTGTCATAGACACTCAAAAATGCGCCACAAATGTCACAGACCCGAAGCTTCTGATCAGTCTGTAAGTAAGCACAACCACCATATAAGAATCACTCAAACAATTCCAATTAGCTTTATCCTGTGAGAAAAAATAAATAAAAGGAATTGCCTCCCCAACTATGGGCATTTTCACACTTTGCCTCCTGTTATTCCAAAGTTGACAAACACATTTTTTATTTAAATGCATCCATGTGCAGGTTTTGACGACTAAAACCAATGCTCGCCTTCAAAATATGCTATTTCAACATAAATATTAATATTAAAAATTTAACAAATAAAAGATAAATTGATTTTTTCAAAGAAAAAAAATACAAAAACTTACAAAATTATTAAACAAAATAAAAGAAGAAACTGATAATAGAAATAAACTAATAAAAAACAAAATAAAAAATCTAATTACTAAAAAACATAAAATAAATATTAATTTAAATTCCATGTTAGTTTAATAAAAATTATATAAATCCAGAACTTATAAGGTCAAGTATCAGTTAGTTTAATAAAAACTAGTGCGGTACCCGTGCGATGCACGGGCTAGTTTTACTAAAATATATGTATTGGAATAAAACAAAAATTAACTTATATATTATTAACTACATCCTTGTATACAACATTATTTATTTGGTCTTTTGATACATCGTCTATAGTCACAAATTATATTATGATTCTAGATAAGCTCAAATAAATCAATTAAATTATTTACCAGGATATATATGATATGATTTATACTACTTTTATGAAGAGCATAGCCAAATATAACGGAGATTGTAAAACGTATTTCTTGATAATCTGTAGTCTTATTATTTTAAAATTATAAATTACTTAATTAAAGGAAGGGAAAAAATTTGTACGTGTATGCAATCAATTTCAAATTTGTATTCCAAATGATTAAACAAAACCCAAATTTTTCGGATGTTCTAATCTGATTTCATTTTGAATTTCAAATTAATATTATCTTACTCTTTTTTTATGTTTAAAAAAAAAACCAAACTAAAGAAAGTAGTAGTCAAATGATAAGGGATTTTTTTAATTTTAATTTTCAATTTGAATTTGGGCTCGATTTTTTAGTTCCAAATGAAACTGATTTTTTAGTACAAAGTACAAACCACTCTTTAAAAAAAAAAAAATTAATTAACAACAAATAAGTCTTATGGGTGAACAAATTTTATCATTCCATAAAATCAGGAATGTTTCGAATGACTATTACATAAAATATTGAAGGTATAGGATGTGACCTTAGATTATCAAATTCTTTTATGTGTTTTTATAAAATTAAGAATGTGACTATCCTACATATTAGGAAACAATACAACTGAATTTAATCAATATTAGGATGATTCGTGATTTATGATGATCCGTGTGATATGTAGCCATATTTTTACGTGAATATGTTTCCTATAGAAATGGAAATCAAATTGGTAACAAATTAATTAAATGCTTTTTTTCCATATAAGCTCCGTTATTTTCCTCAAATGTTATAATATTATATTGTATTAATTATATCGATATTTCGAGGTTTGTGTTGAATAAATTTATGACTAAAATACATTATTTAAAAAAAAATTGTAAATAATGTATATATATAGGATTCGGTCAATGCGTGATTAGGTATTATCTTTCCAAAAAATATGGAATATGTGGAATGGCAATCAGAATGGAATCATTAGGATTATAGAAAAAAAGGCGTGGAATATTTGAATTGCATACAAACATGTGATAAACACATAAAAACGCGTGAACATATTTGTCATTCCATATTTTACGGAATGAGTCCGATGGCAATAAAAAATGAATGATTTACCTTACAAATAAATTAACAAAAAAATCTAATCGAGAATTTGAATAGAAAACGTAAGTTTTCCGAATTTATTAACAAATTTCCATACTTAGTAAGTCAAAGCTTTGACTCGTTTTTTTTAACATTCCACAATTGATTTTACCATCAACCTTTTTCAATATGTATAGATTATATAAATCAAGAACTTATAAGGTCAAGTATCAGCATTAATAAAATTATTTACAATAAACAAAGAACTAAAAATATATTCTTCTAAATTATAATAAGAATTTTGAAAATAATAAATAAATTAATTTAAAAAAAAAGGTAAAATAGACTTGTAAAGATTGTCACAAGAATAAAGTGGTAAAAAAAGTTTAAAAAATGTAAAATCGTGAAATAGAAAAAAAGTATCATAATAATTTATGATTATTAAGAAAACTATTTTATTTTATTAATACTTTCAAGATTAATATATATTAACTTAGAAAATCATTTTAAGGGTTTGGGGTCAATTAACTTATTGGCAACAATTTATTATTTCTTTTTTTTAGGGGGGGGGAATATTTTGATTTTTATTAATTATTGTTTTCATTTAAAATAAAATTATAAGTCCGGTTAAATGAGTAAAAAGTATTCTTTGATTCTGAATTTATTAGTTTGTTCTGTATTGTTAATTTCTTTTGTTCCTTGCATGATTCTAGAATTTGTTTACGTTATTTTATAAGTTCTGTTTGGAATTTCAATTATCTTTTATTGTTAAAATTTATAATTCTGAAATTTATATTAGAATACCATCTTTTGGAGATCAAATGTGGTTATGAAGGTACAAAATGGTACCGGGAGGCATTTTTGAATAAAAAAAATGTTAGATGGTTGTCTGTCAACTTTGAAAAAAGAGAATAGGCATAATTGGAGAGACAAAAAAGTTCTCTTATCATCCTATTCATGTTATAAGAACGGTGCTCCCTAGGAGTAGCAAGATAAATCTTGAAAGAACTCATAAAGTGATGTCATGCTTCTAGCTCTCAAGAAAGCAAAAGCCCTAAAACAAATAACCATATACCATCAACCTTGACTAATCATGTTTTTGCATTTAATTGGCTGAAAAAGGTAGTAAAAATTGTGCGAACTAAAAGCTTTTGAAAGAAACGTGAAATTTGAACTAGCCACTACAGATATTCCAACCTAAATTATAAGAATAAAAGATAATGGACTTACAATCCGCACATCAGCAGCTGTGTATTTTGATGAATCCAGCACCAGTTCCTGTCGAGCCGGCAGCTGATAAATTGGAAGAAAATGTTCAAAACCAAAGCACATTTGTTAGGTGAATGAAATTTAAATGGAAAACATGACCAACATTATAAAGTGACAGCTGATTAAGTCAAAGCAGCACAATGCACGTTTCCAACAATATGCTAAAGTAATTTTTAGTAGATAGAACCTTCTTCAATGCTTCGGCCTCTTCCAGTAGTTTTTGTGCTTCATCAACCATTCCTTGTTCACCTAATGGGTGTATCAGAGGCAAGCATATAACAGATGCTAAATATCCATAACGCCAAGAACATCAACCTCAGAAAATTGGGAGAGCAGAATTGAATAGTGGAACTAATTGCATCATATGGCACTCCTAACCGTCTATATTTAATTTTGCATTGTGATGTTCAAAACAAAAGCACACTACCAATTCTTGGCATATAAAATTTAGCACCATAAAAACCTCTACATAGTGTTTTTTCAAGCATAAATGTTTTGAGATATCACGAAAAGACATTAAAGAAATAGTCAACATACGTATAGTCATTATTCAATATAGATTAGGAGTCCTTCGTTGCCAAACTGAAGCATATAAATCTTACCGAGTTCTTCAGCTTTCTTTAGCTTCTCGTTAATCATTTCTTGTACATGAGGATCCGGAACAACAGCTGGCATGGGGGCCAACTGTGGAGCATTCGCAGGGGGCTGCGGAAGCAATGCTCGATCCTTGTTGAAAGCATCCAAAAGGAGCATCGACTGATATTTGAACAAAAACTAGAAGCTTAGAATCTGGTTACTGCTTCTGCTATTTTACTTTTCACTGAACCAAAAAAAAAGATAAATAGCAAACAGTATTGTAAATGCCCCAAAGGCACTCAATACCTGCATGTCGGCTCTTTTAGTTCTCAGCTCTTCAACCTCTTCCATAGCTCGAATCTTCATGTCTGTCTTGCCTTCAAGATCTATAAGACCAGCTAATCTTAGCTACATCCTCATATAGACCTTCAGTGCTATGATCGGCAAAATTTTGCAATAACCAATTTCAAATTTTTATCACTATAATTAAAGTGACAAGTGTTTCTTGAACAGAACTCCATAAAACATTGCCCATAACCTGATGAAGCTCATCTATATATGTTCTTTGAATTAAACAACCAACACCTCACACTACCACAAATTGAGCTTGAATTCAACTCAACTATAATTCTCCATAAGACTAATGATATGATCATCAATTATCAGTAAATAACAGGAAGAAACCCTACCAGATTGATCGGCTTCTTTCAATTTTTCTTTGATTTGCTTTGACAACTCAATAATCTCTGCCGTCTGCAATTTCAAGAGGTTTACTAACTATATATTTCCATGATACAGGCGTGGGATAAAACATAGAGAATTATATCTATACCGATGTAACTTCTGTCACAGATATTGCAATAGCTGCTTTAGCATCCTCTTCATCAAGCCTCTTCAAAGCTCTGGAAATTTTACGATCACACTCGACAATTAATCTGTCTATGTTATCTTCTAAGTCCCTGTCATAATTATCAAGACCTTTTGCTTTTGCTTCCTCATATCTAAATGAGTGTTAAGTTAACATAGTGAAAAACAAAAGCAGCAATGAGATGATGCAATTACATCAGGTCAGTCATTGCAAATATTAGTAAATGCCAAAAGATGCTAAGCAGCCCCAGTGAAAATAGAAAACTGTGATTGTAAACTACACATTTTGTTAATTAAATGGCAATCGCATAAACATCATAACCAAGGTAGCAGATATACATCTATAGCATGATGTTTGCATGTAAAATCCTGTTTACATATATCTATAGCATGATGTTTGCTGTTAGAAGTTTCTAAATGCTGACAAATAAGGGCATGAGAGAGAGAGAAAGAGCTTAAAAGTAATTTAAGGAAACCATTTAAACGGCACATCGTAGCAAGCATTTAACTGCATTCCTAACCTTTTGCACAGCATTTGACACCATCCAAACTACTTCTACAAGTTTCCCCACTTTAAAAATCACAAACAAAGTGCAGGTTCCAGAAGAACCAAAACTTTAAACCCCAAGCCTGCATAATTTCGACCAATACCTGCAAAACATGGCTATCAAAATAACCATGCAAAATCATATTCAAATGTAATGGATACTCTCTCCTCAACTGCAGTGAGTGCAACTTCGAGCATGGTCCTTTATCCATTTTCTGCATTATAACATGACAAAATAAAAAATACAAAAAGAAAAAAAAATAGTAGCTAATAAACACAACACACCCTCTCCCATTATTTAATAAACACAAATTTTGAAATTCCGAACAGACTCAGCACATCTTCAAGTTACATCTGGAGTAACAACTACAATGGCTAAAATATGATGAAATACATTGAACCAAACATACCAATTCATATAATGCTCCCCACAAAGGAAGAAATATACAAATTAAATACGTATGGAAACACTTGCAGAGACACGAGCTTGAAATTCACGCGTACCGTGAGTTGGAAAAGGTCGTGAGGGCAAAGGCCGGCGAGAAAGAGGCGGCAAACATCACGATCGTAGTACTTGCGGGTAACCTCCTGAGCGTCGCCGTTTCGATTCGCTCCCATTAGAACATCAAGCTGCTTCCTTAGCGCGTCCATGGCCAAATTTCCCTCTCTTATAATTTTTTAGTATGATTTGATTTCTCTGGACACTAGGGTTTGGTTAGGTCAGTTGGCTCTTGGTATCGGTAATGAAAACTCGAACAGAGAATTGGCCCTGAAAAGCATTATTTCTGTTTAGGCCCCTGCATTTACGAAGATTAGTGATTAGAGTCTCAAAATTCTAACTACAGCGTCCTATCCGCCTATGTTTTAAAACACTTGTAAGCTTATTTGGAAGCTTTTCAATCCGTTTAAAATTTTTATTCTAGCTAGTTTTTCAAACATATTTAAATCATTGTTTGAAATATGTTAAAAGTACATAATAAATGTATATAGAATCTATATATATATAATTGCTAGCTAAGCAATAAATTTTACCTAATAAATAAAACCTAATAAATTTTACCTATGTGGCAAATCATTAATAAAACCTAATAAATAGAACCTAATAAATTTTATTTATGTGCCATTAATACACTCAATCTCATTAATAAGAAAATATTTCATTACATTTTTTGGGTTAATTAAGATAAAAACCATTATATTTTATGTTAATTGATTAATAATTATATTTTTTTATTGAATAATATAATAGTCAATATTAAAATTAGTAATTATATTTTATACTAAATAATATATGAAAGTTACATAAAATTATATTTTACACTAAAATCAATATTTTTTTATATGATGAAGATGTTGTTTATTAATAAATTAATTTTTTTTATGTCATAGTAAAATTTCTTAAAATCACATAAGCAATTGTTATAATAAATGTAATATTTTTCAGCTAATTAATTGGTCATGATCACTCATTATTATAAAAAGTATATATTTATTGCATTTTATGCAATCAATATAGTGATTCGTATACAATCAAATTGTTTGTACTATTTATTTTAACCAATGATCAAATTTTAAAATATAATACTATTATATAATTTTAATTTTAATATTATATACATAAATATAACTTATAATACTATATGGTTGAAATATAATACAATTATATAACTTATAATTTTTATATTATATACATAAATATAACTTATAATATTTAATTTTATTTACATCTGTGCAAATGCACAAGGTCGAATACTAGTTGTACATAAAACTCACATAGAGTGAGGTGCACTTAATTTTTTTATTTTTGTAGGACCCACTCAGTGTGAATGTTGTGTACACCTCTATGTATATTATTATGTACCTATAGCATTACTCTTATTATTTCAGCTAGTTTTTACCAAATATTTATCATATAAGCCATAAGCCATAAACGAGTCGGCTTCGGTTTGATTTGGTTGGATAAAGTGAGTTAGTTTGAATAAAGTTGATTGAGTGGATGACTTTAACTTTGTAATTAAATAACATTTAAGATGTAATGATTAAAGTTAACGTGATGTAAAAAGCATGGGGGAATTTATTGAAAAGTGATATCTATTTAAAATTAGATAAATACTATAAGTACATAATAATGTAAATAGATGTGTATATAACACTCATATTAAGTTGGTCCTACCAAAAATAAAAAGAAAAATGCTGCAAGTACATATACATAGAGGTGTACATAACACTCACATTAGTAGGGTCCACTTGATTTTTTATTTTTAGTTGGACCCACTAAATGTGAGTGTTATGTACACCTCTATGTACATTTATTATGTACTTATAACATTGCTCAAATAAAAAATAGAAAATGCTACATGTATATAATAAAAGTACATAGAGGTGTACATAACACTCAAATTGGTGAAGGCGTCGGCTCTTCAGCGTGGCTTGTCGGGTTCACTCCCTTGGCGTATGTTTCACTCCCAATTGAAGATTGCGAGAGTTCAGATTTGGTGATGAGATGGGCTGAGACATGCCTCATCACAAAATCTGAATAGCCGCTTGAATAAGTTGGAGTTTTTAGGTATGAGGCTTAGATCTGTCGCTCTCTTTTGTTATTGATTGTGGAGTTTAGCTCGTTGTCAGATTTGGCTCGAGTGTTGTTCGAGTGTTGTAGCGGTGTGCTTGCGAGTTGTAGGAATAATAATAATATATTGTTAATTAGATGTGTGTTGTTATTTAATTTTGTTGTGTGGGTGTGTTATTCTTCTTTTTTGGAACTTTCAGTCTTCTCACGTGGGATTTTAGTTGGGTAAAGTCCACTTTTGGTCCTCCATGTTTAGGGGGTATCCAGACTGAGTCCCTATTATGTTTTGATGCCCAATTTTAGTCCTTAAAACAAAGAAATGAGTCCCTATTATGTTTTGGTGCCAATTTTAGTCCTTAAAACAAAAAAAGAGTCCCTATTATGTTTTGGTGCCCAATTTTAGTCCAAAAAAAAAAATGTAGTCCCTTTACCTCAATTTCTGTGAATTAGCGGTCCATTTTTGCTCGACTGTGATGTTCTTTATTTTTTTTTAAATTTGTTGATTAATGTCAACTTTGACCAAAGAAAAATAAAAGAAAATTTAAATGCTGAAAATATATTAATAAAAAATTAAACTAAAACAAGAAATTGCACTAAATTAAATTAAAATTTTTGCTCGTCTGATTTCTATTTCCCTAGCATTCGCGCTGCGGAGCAAGCCTGGAATCACAGCTAATGCTCTTGCACCCATTTCCGGGTCATGCCATCGAAAAAAATTGCACCTATCAACCCTCTGTTTTTTAACCATTTCTTATCATATTCCAATTGAAGTTCACGGAAAGTACTTACA